CTTCCTCCTGCGCTTCCCTTCCAAGACTGGCGTCACGTCCCCCGTGGACTTCCTGCAGAACCAGAGCTGGGGTGCTGTCAAGGTGGGTCTGTGCAGTCACCAACTGTGCCAAGGCAATGCCAGCACAGCCCCTAGTGCAGCAGGTCCAGGGCCACCTGCAGGGGGTCCCTGGGGATGAGCAGAGCCCAGGAGTGATTTATTCTTTCTCTGTGGAACCTGAAGGCACTTTCAGAAATGGAAGAGTTTGGCAGCCTGGAGAGTGACATTGAGAGCTCAGCAAAGAGATGGAAAAGGTTTGTGGAGATGGAGGCACCAGAGAACGAGGTGTTCCCCATGGACTGGAAGAACAAGTCAGCCCTGCAGAAGCTGTGCGTGCTGCGCTGCCTGCGCCCTGACAGGATGACCTATGCCATCAGGTACCTGGTGGCCAGCACAGGGCTCTCCTGCAAGAGCCCCCAAGTGTCACCTCTCCAGCTGCAACCAGTGACTGTTTCCATCTCACAGGATGGTTCTATTTCTCTGTAGGAATTTTGTGGAAGAGAAAATGGGAAGCAAGTATGTGAAAGGAAGGAGCATTGATCTCTCTGAGGTGTATAAGGAGAGCAGCCCCTCCTCACCCCTGTTCTTCATCCTCTCCCCTGGTGTTGACCCACTGAAGGATGTGGAGGCACTGGGTGAGGAACTGCTCCCCCAGACTGGCACCAGCCCTGCTGGCCAAGTGGCCAGAACTGCATGGACCCACTCAGTACTGATACTGACTGCAAACATTTCCCCCGCAGGCATGAGGCTGGGTTTCACCATTGACAACGGGAAGATCCACAACGTATCGCTGGGGCAAGGCCAGGAGGTCGTGGCAGAGCACGCCATGGAGGTGGCAGCTGCCGAGGGCCACTGGGTCATCCTGCAGGTGGGTGGGGGCAGTGGGGCACACCACAGGGCACACAGCCCTGATGGCAACCGGGCATACCAGGGCACAAAGTCCTGCCAGCATCCAGGCACACCATGCAGGGTCACCCCGCTGGCGATGGCAGTGACACTGCCTGGGCTAGCTGGCTGTACCCAGCGCCTTCCCCTTGTGGAGCCACAGTAGCAATCAGCATGGGGGGGAAGTAAGATTCTCAAGGTCCAGAGAGTTTTTTTTACAGAACATCCACCTAGTGGCCCGGTGGCTGGGCACACTGGAGAAGCTGGTGGAGCACCACAGCCTAGAAAGCCACCCCGAGTACCGACTGTTCATGAGCGCCGAGCCAGCCCCCAGCCCCGAGACGCACATCATCCCACAGGGGCTGCTGGACAACTCCATCAAGATCACCAGCGAGCCGCCGACAGGCATGCGCGCCAACCTGCACGGAGCCCTCGACCTCTTCACCCAGGTACCCCCAGTGCCACCCCCACCCTCCACAGCTGCCTCCTTGAGCCCTTCTGGGCAGCAGGTACAGCTCATCCCCTCTCAGGGTTCCACAGGCTGAGCACCTCAGGGGTGTCTCCGCTGCCAGAGACACTGCACCTGGAGCCAGCCCTTGCCAAGACATCCTCCTGGAGTGCCCAGAGTACCCCTCTGGCAGGGATTTAGGGGTAACCAGAGCTGCCTGAGGTTTTCCAACACCGGGAAGCGCCAGGTTGCCAGGGCCTTTCCTGAGACTGAACCTGGAGCTGTTGCAGCTTTGCTATGAACAAGCTGTCTCAGCTGTCAGCAGGGCGATGGGGTGTGAATTCCTAAATCCTTCATAAACAAATGAGTGCAAAAATTACCAACTAGCAAATCATTAAAATACAATTGTGTGCTTTTTTTTCTAATGAACATTTTCAGTTGTCTTTTGCCTATGAATGTTCTTCACTAGAGGGGCATCTGACAGCAGTATTCAGCTGCAACCCACCCTCACTGTTCCTCTGCAGGAAACACTGGAGCAGTGCAGCAAAGAATCCGAGTTCAGATGCATCCTGTTTGCCCTTTGCTACTTCCATGCAGCGGTGGCTGAGCGGCGCAGGTTCGGTACCCAGGGCTGGAACAGGTCGTACCCCTTCAACAACGGCGACCTGACCGTCTCTGTCAACGTCCTGCACAACTACCTGGAGGCCAACCCCAAGGTGAGGGACAACGAGGTGACTGCTCCTCAGCACAGCAAACACTGCAACAATTGGCCTTGCTTAGAACGTTCACCAGTTTGCAGCACAAACACCATCTCAGGAAGAAGCCCAGGGCCAGGAGCAGCTCCTCCCCTGCTCCCTGCACACTCAGGCAGGGGAAGGGGATGAGTACTCTGCCTGAGATGGCTGAAAAAGGCACCAGGCACCAGCCAGGGCAAGTGCCTGCCCTGGCTCACCTGCCTGCCCTGACCCGTGCCTTGGTGGTTGGTGGGTGGTTCCACCTAAAAAGCAAAGCCTGCTCCAAGAATGCAGATGCAGTAAGCAGGGCTGAAATCTCACCTTTAGACCTGCCCTCACAGATGAGATCAGTGCTAGTTGGAAAAAAGACAGGACTCAAATCACAGATGGCTGTGTTCATACTGGGGCAAGGAGAAATCTGTGGGTGACCAAGAGATACCCCTCTTCCCAAGCCTCTGTGGGTCCAGGGACTATCACCTCCCTGCACAGCTCAGTCCTGGAGCCACCACTCTGTGGTTGCATGGGGAACTCCTGGAGAGCCTCCTTGGAGTCCCAGCTTGAGCCTCTCCCTGCAGGTACCATGGGATGACCTCCGGTACCTCTTTGGGGAGATCATGTACGGGGGGCACATCACTGATGACTGGGACCGCCGGCTGTGCCGCACGTACCTGAGTGAGTACGTCCAGCCTGAGATGCTGGATGGGGACGTGTCCTTGGCTCCAGGGTTTATGATCCCTCCCCGCATGGATTACGAGGTAAGAAACTTTGCAATTGGCTGTAGAAAACCCCTGCTCTGGAAAAATGGGCATGAGTCCACATTCCCTCTCGCTCACCAAGGGGAATGTAGGGAGAGTGTCAGTCCCCTTGGGAATGTGCAGAATTGCTGCAAAAGTAATTCCTGCGGTTGAGATGGAAAGGGAAAAGCTTGGCTGAGACACAAGTTAAAGAAGAGACTCTGTGCCCACGGGCAGGTGCTGTGAAGGGCCCCAAGAGTGGTGATGGGTTTTCAAGGTTACAGGGAACTTTGGGCTCCTCTGCCTGCACTTCCAAGCTAACGCTGGCCCTGACCCTATGCTCAGGCCTACCACCAGTACATCGATGACAACCTGCCAGGAGAGAGCCCCCACCTGTATGGCCTGCACCCCAACGCAGAGATGGGTTTCCTGACTGTCACCTCAGACCGTCTCTTCCGCACAGTGCTGGAACTGCAGCCCAAGGAATCTGAGGCTGCTGGAGGCTCAGGCGTCTCCCGAGAGGAACAGGTGAGTCAAGTCCTATCTCTTTATGGTAGAAATTAACTTATTTTTGTTTAAGGTGGGGGGAAATAATTACTGTGGGGAAAAAAACCTCTTAAGGGTGACAACTGCGAGGCTAGAGACGGGATGCAGATACAGGTCTGGAGACAACTGAGAGAGCAAGCAGGCCCCACAGCAGAAAGGGATAAGAGGGAGGTGATTCCAGCCTAGCCACGCTGTGGTCATCAGCCCAGGGATGGTGGCACACACAGTGCAGAGAGAGCTGGCAGCATGGCCAAGAACCCCACCCCCGATGGGCCACTGGCAACATGTGGCTTACATGGGACTCCTCAGCAGATGAGCTGGCTGAGAAACCTCCATTCATGAAAGCAACTACTAAAACCAAAGATTTAAAAGAATGTTTTTTAGTCTTCTTCCTGACTGTCTGGACTTTACACTTGAATTTCACAGCCTCCATGGCCTCAGGTCTCTTACCTTGGCTATCAAAAAAGAACTACAGTTTTTAAGACCCAAGAACAGTTAGTAACAGAATGGAGGACTAGTAATAGAGGAGGAGGTACAAAGAAACACCAGCACAGAAAAAGAAAAAAGTCTTACCAAGTTAATTAAATGGAAGCTGCAGCATTTTTCTGTGGACAAGAGCAGTTTATGGCATTCCCATTTCAGGTGAAGTCAGTCCTGGATGAAATCATCGGGCAGCTGCCGGAGCCGTTCAACATGGAAGAGATGATGGCAAAGGCAAAGGAAAAAACCCCATACACTGTTGTAGCCCTCCAGGAATGTGAAAGGATGAACATCCTGACCAATGAGATCAGGCGCTCGCTGAAGGAGCTGGACCTGGGACTGCAGGTACACAGCAGGCCTGGATCATCTCCCAGAATTCCACAGCACTCTGCCTTTGCTGCAGCTCCCACCCATCAAACTGTGCCAGGTGCAGCCAGGCAGCCCCAGCCTTCTGCTCCCTGAGCCCATGCACATCCCTCAGGCTGTCCCACCACTGGCTGCAGGTGACACTGCCTGGACTTTTCTCTTTTTCAAAGGGAGAGCTGACGATTACGTCCGAGATGGAAGAGCTGTCAAATGCTCTCTTCTATGACAGTGTTCCAGAATCATGGACACGTTATGCCTACCCCTCCCTCCTCAGCTTGGCAAACTGGTATGCAGACCTGCTCCTGCGGATCAGGGTGAGCAGAGTGTGTGTGACTGTCAGAGCTTGGGGTGCCCCAGGACTTTCCCCACCAGTGCACTGGTTTATTGGTAACTGGTTTATTTCTCAGTGTCAATTTAACCAGCCTGAAATACCTGAAAAGGGCTGTTACTCCAGGAATAGGAGCACAAGTCTGACCAAGGTTCCCATTACAGTACATCACTGTAGCAAAAGAACATCAGCTCCCCCCATTACAACTCTGAGTGTCCCATAAAAATATTAATAAAACTGGCTTTGTTAAAAAATAACAGCAGCATTTTCTGCACTATGAATTCAGGGTTTCAGCTTCATTGCTGCAGGGGAATCTGCTGCTTATTTCTCCCATACCACCTCCAGCCAGTCTCCTTTCTGCAAGATTAGCTGAAGCTTGGGTTATGCACAGCAAAGCATCAGCTCTGTCAGTGTCCTGCAGCTCACAGCACACCCTCCACCCTAAGGGACTCTGCTGGTTTATTTTCCAGGAACTGGAAGTCTGGTCAACAGATTTTGTGCTACCTGCAACAGTGTGGCTGGCAGGATTCTTCAACCCCCAGTCCTTCCTCACAGCCATCATGCAGTCCACAGCCAGGAAAAAGCAGTGGCCACTGGATAAGATGTGTCTGGCAGTGGATGTGACCAAGAAAACCCGTGAGGAAATAACATTTCCCCCTAGAGAAGGCTCCTACGTGCACGGGCTGTTCATGGAAGGTAAAAACTGCATCTCTGAGGTGTTTCAGACACGGAGTAGGCCCAGCTCAGCACGTGTCCCTTGTGCAGCCGAGCAGTGTCAGCACTTGCTGGCTGGTCTGCTCTGCCCACACTGGTGGCAGCTCAGAGCAGGGAGCCCTGGGTCCATCTGGGTCCACCTGGGTCCAGGCTCAGCCGCCAGCTGAGGGCAGCACTGCCCGGATCACACAGCCTTTCCAAACCAGAAATTTGTGTTTTAGCAATTTAGGCTCCAGCCCATGAACCCTGGGGCTCCTGGAGCTACAGGGCTCTAGTGAATACATATGTACTCAAGCATAGCAGATGCTCGAGTAAGACAAATTGAGAAACTTAAATCCATGGTAATTACTGCTAATGAGAGGGAAGGAGGCAGTTCAGCAAAGCAGCTGAAAGGTCCACTTCGACAAAAGCAGAGAGCATGTGGGACACCATGTGACAGATCCCACTACAGCCAGTTCACCTTGAACTCTGCAATTCCCACATAAAGCCGTGCTGAAGGGAAGGGTGGGGACAGAATTTATTCAGACATCCCACACACAGTAAGGCAAATGCAGTCCTGGGTCACAGTGAGATGAGAACATGTCAGACTACCACCACTGAGCCACTCCACCCAACCTTAACCTCTGAGCTCCCAGCCATGAGTAGCTGTGAAGAAGGGCCCTCGGGGAGCAGCCTGCAGCAGTATCAGGGTCCCCTGACACCTGTGGCCCCTGCAGGTGCACGCTGGGACGTCCCCGCGGGCTCCATCGCCGACGCGCGCATGAAGGAGCTGACGCCCGAGATGCCGGTCATCCTGCTCAGAGCCATCCCCGTGGACCGCATGGACACCATCAACGTCTACGAATGTCCCGTCTACAAGACACGGATGCGAGGGCCCACCTACGTCTGGACCTTCAACCTGAAGACAAAAGAAAAAGCAGCCAAGTGGGTCCTGGCTGGTGTGGCTCTGCTCCTAGAAGCCTAGTTTTTGATGGTAATGGGAAACAGCAGTACTTGTAAGAACTTCCAAGTTGTGTAACTCAGTCTATGTTTGATTGTACCAGAACCATTTTAGCAAAGTATCAATAAAACCAGTGCTGGAAGCGCTGCCGTGTGGAGCCTGCTCTCACAGCACACGGGGTTCTCAGGGCGGATACTGGTTTTCCACTGGTGGTTTCTGACGTGGTGCTGGTGGGGAGCCAGACCACCATGGGAAGCCAGACAGAACAACTGCACACAAGTGCCTGACTCCTTTCCCCCTTCTAGCTCTCCATCTTCCCACAGCTCCTTGTGTGATGGCTCAGTGCAAACTGAGCAGAAACTCCTCACACTCCTGCATGGAGCATCTGTCTGCTGGAGCAGACAGGAGAAGAAAGGTGCAGATTTGGTCCAGTTCACCCACAACCAACCTGCACAGCCCAGAGAAGGTCCAGCTGCAAACAGGTTCTCTCTGAAGTATGTTATTTCTATTTCTAAGGAACAGAACCTACTCGACCTTTTCTTCACAACAAATAATTTGTATCAGCAGTAATACACTTTAAGGTGAGTAGATCTGGTGAGGCTGGTCCTTTTGGCATAAAACAATTCACCAAATTCCCATCCTGTGAAATATTTAAACAATTAGTTCTAAAATACAATTACCTCAAACTTCCCTCACAGCTCACAATCAGACAAGTACCAAGAGCAGACACAGAGAGCAGCTCATTTCTTTATAGAGCAGCAGTATTTATAATCAGTTACGACTGAGTTTCACACTTACCATCAGCTTTTTTCAGGTGTCAGAAATCCTGCTTGTGCCACTTCCAGATCAGAAATCCTTGCTCACACCCTACCTTGCACTCCCATACCTTTTTACCAGGCTTCCAAACACCTTTTTTGCAGGATGTTATGGTTCAAGCCTCCTACTTCCAGCAAGCAACATGCCAAATCCACACCAGCACTAAAAGTCTTCTCCTGCCCTTTCACAACTCATGAAAGACATTTGTAACATATGTGAAGGAGCCAGGCAAACCCTGCTGAGGGGAGGCTGTCATTAAATAAGTAAAGGGATGTGGGAACACGCAGCACCCAGCACACAGTGCCAACTGCACAGACTGTGCCTGGCACAGGAACAGGCAGGAGTGATGGCCTGAAGCTCGCAAGGGCTCAAGTCACAGGCCAGTGGAACCACCAGGAACTCCAGGACACCACAAACAGAAAAGCAAACCCAACTGTTAACCAACACTAGAGGGGCAAAGCAAAGCCCTGACTGGATACAAAGACAAAACATTTAAAGTATTCCAGCAATGCTTCCTATTGGCTGGTCAAGACAGCACAAACACTGTCTCTCTCTGCAAAACTCTGAAAGGGACATTTCAGAAAGGGAGTTTTATTTCCATGCATGGAAAATACCACTGTATGGGTTCTCTGCCAGTGGCCCTTCCAGAAATTCTAGTAGACAAAACCCAGTCAGGACCTGAGCACTGAGCCCAGTTCATGGTAGCCAGTACCCTAGAGGAATCGAGAAGTTCCTGGTTTTCACCACATCATCTGCATGTCCGTGAACTAATGGTTCAAATCTTTTTTTCATGACAGAGCACTGCAGCTATTCACTACAGTCAGTGCAATATAATTCCCCACAATGGCAGCAAACTCACCCAAAGCAGCAACTTTTCTTCTTTCAAAAGAAATTCTTGATCAAAGGTGTCACCAGCTTCACCCACAGTTTCACGTAACGACTTGGCTGCTCAAACGTTGATGTTGAGACCACACCTGAGCAGAGGTAAAGCTGCTCTTGCTCCTGAACGAGGGAAGAAACATCATCTCAGTAAATCCCAAGTGCTAAATTACATAATGGTCTTTCAGAGAAGCAATTCTCAGATAAAGCTAACCAGGGATCTTGCCACAAGAATGCACCATTTCTCCTCAAGAATTTGCAATTAAAACTCTACAGAGAATAAGGGTAGAGGGTTTTGCCTTTTTGTGCCCCACAGCTGCATGAGCTGAGCTTCAGTTTCAGAAAACTCCTCAAGGCCAGGCTGTAATTGCCAGAAAAGGAAACCTCACCCAAACCTCCTGGGACTGGCTTATGCAGCTCTTTCTAGACACAGCTCAGGCGCCGTGTTTGCAGATGAATGTGCAGTCGTGATCTCAGCTAAATTACCAGAAACACTTGGGCCCCCACAGCGTGCACCCAACTGCTGAGGGAGGAAATGAACCACCCTGCTGATAACATGCGCACAGCACGTGAGAGCAATGCTTTGATCACAGGTAAGTGGAGCTTTTAGCACAAACAGTCAGGTTTCAGGATCTGCAGGCAAACAAGGAGCAGAACAGCTCCTGGAAGTTTCTTCATAATCTTTTTTTATAATCAAAGTTGTCACAAAGAGCAGAATGCTGCACTATTTAAATTCAGGGTGGAACAGGGAAGCAGGAACCAAGTACTGGAAAGTAACACCAAAAAGGTGAACCAAGACATTAATCTGCCAATTCACTCTAATTTGAGAGCCTTCAAATACTCCAAAAGCTATAGTCAGCCCTGCTGTGAGGATTCTGCTCCATGACCATCCATTATGGTGAGATCTGAGCACCAGGAGCAAGGCCAGTTCCCTGAATCAATCTCAGTTCATTCACAGAAGCGCCCAAAGACATCCAGACCACTCCCATTTCTTCCCAAATCTCAGCACACACTTTTAAAATGGAACTGAACATTACATAGGCAAAGTGATTTCATGGCAGCATCCCAGGAATGGATTAAGTCTTCTAAAAAAGACCACAGAAAGTAAACACACAGCCCATCTCAGAATCAGCTTCCAGCAATCGGGAATGGTTTAAAGCCCTTTGAGTGAGATCACTGCAGCCCTGTGTGAGAAAATTCCTTTGTGTCACATTTCCATTGATTTTCCCCTTCCATTAGAAACAAGCAGAGGCAAGATATGAATTGAAATACTCAAGCAACTCTTCCAGTAATAGAATTGTTTTTGATTAGATACACTCTGACTCATCCCAGGGAAGAGCCCTGATGCAAGAGGGCAATTCCCATTGATCCTGCAGACAACTCTGCCAGCACCTGCCTCAGACAGCGCATTTCTGAGGTCTCCAAGTCACACAGAGGCACCAAACATCTGCTTTGAAACAGAACACTGCAAGAGAAATTACTTGGGACAGTCAGTTCCAGCAGAAGATTCAGTCAAGACAGCTGGAGAACCAGGCAGGATTCAGAGCAGCAGAACTGCTGAGCATTACAAGCTGCCTAATTAAACAGCACAGAAAAACCCTGGGACATTGAATATCAAAGAACTTAAACATGTTTGCATCAAGATTATATAATGTCATATTATTATTCAAGATAAGGATTTTATCATAGAAATTCATGGGCATCCCAGCCAGTCCAGAAACCCTCTTCCAGTCCAAGCTCAGACACTCCAAGGGCCGGGCCTCATTACCCCAGAACCTGCCATGCCCTGGGTAATCCTTAAATGCTAGGGTTAAGGCTCAGAGGTGCAGCATGGCTGGTGAGCAGAGGAGTCAGCAGGTCCTCCAAAGGCTCTGTGCACATGCAGCCCTGAGCACTCCTGGTACCCGAGGTCACTGGGGACACACATTCCTTCCCGTTACTGCCTCATTTCCCAGCACTGGGTCCTTGCAGCAGGCAGCTCATCAATAGTCACTTCACTGACAGCTCCTCAGGACTCCCCATGCTGCTCCAGCAGCTCCTGAGTTATTGCAGTTGGAGGTTTTTATTGCCACTGCGTCCTCAGCATTCCCTGTGAGACCCAGAAGTACACGATCCCCACTGCATTCCCGGAATCTGCTGCTTACCTGATGGAGCTGCTGCTGCAAGGCTTTATTTTCTGTCACTATTGCAACCTGAGCTTCCAAGTCACGATGAACTGATCGATACCCAAAATTTGGAGAGCCAATCAGGGTCAGGCAGGGCAGGTCACTCCCTGCTAGGTACAGCCAGAGGCCTGCAGGAAAAATAAGGAAGAGAGGCAGCATGACGACCAAGGGAGAGGCCAGGGTGGGCTCACCTGGTCCCTCCACTCAGAGTGAATTAAATGCTTTAAATGTGGATTACAGATGCTGTACAGGAGCTTGAGAGCAGAGAGCAGCCTAGCAGGGCCTGCAGGGCTGCTCTGCTGTGTGTGCAGTGTGTGCCATGTGTGGGGTGTGTGCTCCGTGTGCCATGTGTGGGGTGCCCTGGCACAGCCCAAATCTGAATGTTTTGACTGGAAGTGCGGTACCCCTAGTGCACACCTGGAATGCACAGCCCCAAAACAACTCAGAACAAGTCCTGTCACTGCCTAAGAGGCTGTTTTGCACCACTGTAAATTCAGAAATGCTCAGAGAAGACAAACAGGTTTCCAAGGAAGGAGCCAGCCCCAAAATCCCAGCCAGACAGGCTAAGTCTGTCCAGCCTGTCTCAGGGCCAGGGACCAACCCCCATCCCAGGACCATGACATGAAGAGGCATCTCCCAGCTCTGGCAGGTGAATTTACATGCCACTCTGAAGTGATACAGATGAGAAGTGCAAATTATTTCACTCCTTCACTTCCAGAGGAGCCAGCAATGAGATCAGACTCTTGCCAGGGCACCTGGCCCCCGCTGCCACTCACCAACACAGCTGCCACAGCTCTGCCAGCACAGAGAGCAGGACAGAGCCCAGGACAGATTTTCAAGGGAAAGATGGAAACATCACATCATTCTCAAGCACACCACTGCAGCAAGAAGGAACAGTCACAGGAGAATCAGGACTGCTGCCAAGGAGAGGCTATGTGGTCACTCTGCACAAATGGAGCCAGAGAGCCTTTGCTCTCCTCAGCAGAGCCCTGGGTGAGTCCCTGGTAGAGGCTTATCCCCATGGCTGGTCACACACAGACTGCAACAAAGAACCCGTAGCATAAAAACCACCTCGGCCTTAAAATAGCAGCAGGTTTCCCAACTCAGCCCCAGAGCAGTTCCAAGAATGCCTTGAGTAAGATGCTGCCGATTCACTGCCAGTTCCTGTAAGCTCCTCCCCGCCCCCACAGCACACACTGACAGAGCTGGCACTGCCCTAATGCCACAGCACCTCCAGACCCCACAGGCTCAGCCCACCACAGCAGGGCTGACAACCCACCACGAGCCCTGGGAGCCACATGGCACAGGGTTTTGTCACATTCTGCCACCAAACAGGACCCTGCCAGGGGCTGTCTGGTGCCTGCCAACTAAAGGCTGGACCTCTGCCCAAGCAGCAGCCATGAGGAACAGATTCCTTGCCTTCCCAAGTGTCTTGTGGCAGTCCCACAGCCTTTACAAGTCTCTGGTTTCATGGCCATCTGGCAGGATCTGCTCAAACAGTGACTCACCTTCCAGCAAGGGGAAGCACAGCTTCCCAGTGCCAGTCAATAGCAGTGATAGGGTTTATCTCACAGCACACAGCCACCTGCCCAGCACCCTGCCACCACAACATGCTTGAAAGGGACCCTGATCCCAAGGGATGTATCCCTGTCATCCCCAACACCACACCCAAGGAAGGGGCAGATAAGCTTTGGGATGTCACACCAGGACAGCTGCTGGATGTCCTGCTCAGACATGCACCCCATCTGTGTAGAGCTCTGCTACACCTGCATGGGCACCCAGGAGAGACATCCCTGGGAGCACCACTTGACATCGTGCATGCAGATACAAAAATGCTAAGGGGACCAGGAGGAGCATGCAGCACAGCCCCAGTATTTGGGGTCCCACGGAAGACTCAAGGGTGTCTCATGTCTCAGCCCAGAGAGGAAGCACCAACAGGCACTGTTTGCTGCTGGGAATCTCATGTCCTCAACCAGGAGCTAAGCTCCATGTGCTCCTTGTGCACATGCCCTTCACATCTCCAAGGCTTCCTCCCTTCCCTCTTCTGTCCTTGTCCTCTCTGCCACACCACGACTCCTGCAAAAGGAAATGGAGTGAATCTAACATGTGCCAAGGGTAGAGCATGCCAGAAGAGGAGCTGCACACGACCCTCCCAGCACTCTGAAGGGGAATGGAAACAAGGCAGCAAATGTCTCCAGCTGTCCCTCCTGCTACGCTCTGGAGCTGCTGAACTCCAAGCCCTGCATCCCTTCCAAGCAAACACCACACAGCAGAGAGCCCAAAGCACTGTCCCACAAGGCCTGGCTGGCACAAACAGGACCAGTGACCATCTGCGCTTTGGTAGCTGGGAAAAGCAGCCCTCGTTTCTGGGCTCAGTTTACGCCAAACCACATCCCACTGGGAGTTAGCAGTGCTCAACAAAGGCAGAACCTGGGAACCACAGATCGCTCAAGCACGTGCATCCTGAAAGACACAGGACACCCCAGGCAAGCAGGCAGGGACCTCCCTCGTGCTGCCCTGTGGGAGATAAGGGTTTTCCCTGCACTCCCAGCCATGCTGGGGAGGGGCACTCTGAAATCTGTCATTTCAACACAGAGGCACCCAGGGATTTTCCACAGTTGAGAGAAGGCTGACTCGGCAGCTTTCCCTCCCCACCACTTCTGAGCTCCCTCTGAGCACCCCTGTGAGAAGCAGGGGGATGGAGCCATTCCTACTGACAGCTCTCGTCAAAACAGGAATGGTTGGAGCACCAGTGTTGCAATCACAGCTCAAACACTCCAGCTGAAGCACCCTGCTGAGCCTGTGGGAGCTAGGCACAGTATCCAGCAGGAATCCAGGGGCTCTCACAGAAGACCTCAAAGGTGGAGTTCATTAACTCAATGCATGTTAGTCCATATTCCTTCCTCAGCCCCTTGCCCTCTGGCTGCCCTGACTCCCATAAGCACAGCTCCTCACACTGCATCCCCTGTGAGCTGGGAACGGGAGCTGGTGCAAATCCCCCAACACTCACATTGTCCCCACACAGACCTGCTGGGAAGGCCCCAGAAGCAGCTCCCTTCCAGCACCTGCCCCCGATTCCGCTGCAGGGTCCCCAGCAGAGTCAGCACTCCTGACTGCTGAAACCAGCCCAAGGGATACAAGAAACTGCACCAGGCACTGACTGCATAATAAACACATCCAGATGCTTCCTTTCCTTCACATCACCTTTCTCATCCAGACAGTGCTTCAGTGCCACCACAGAGACAGCTCTCAAATCATCCCTGTGACTGCATTGAACAAAAGGCAAAGGCAAGTGATCCAAACCCTCCAGGTTTACACAAGCACATTATTTGAACCTTGGAGGAGTGTTTCAAAGGTTAAGGCCAGACTGGCACCCAGCCAGCCCCTTACTCCTTTTGCAATCCAAATGCACAGCTCTCACCCACCTCTGAACAAGACCCTTGGGATTAAGGGCACCTTACCTTTGGCATGGAAGGTCCACCCAGCACGGGAGTACTCCTGTAGCTGCACTCTCTCCTGCTGCTGCAGGCAGCAGACCTCACTGTAAAACTGCTGTTCAATGTAAACGTAGGCAGCAGGGATAGCACCAGCCACCCCTTTGGCACCAAAAAACCCATTGACCTCTGGCGAGGCCAGGAGGATCCGGTATTCGGCCCTTGTGCCCAGGATGAGGTCCATGTAGGCCTGTGTCAAGTTGAAGTAGCCAGTGGTGAGGTATATCCTGGCATCCCGCTCAGCCTCTGTCAGGAGTGTCTCTGTGACCATCTCGTCTATTTGAATCCCAAAAGGTTTCATTTGGATTAAGGGATAGATCCAGGTGTCAGGTTCTGGCTTCAGACTCCCAGATGCCTGAGAGCCTTGCTGGGATAAGAGGGAGCTGCCTGGCTGGCTGCTGTGGAAAGTCTTTGCATGAAGGAGCTCTTGCCGTGTGCGGGCAGAGTTGATGACCTCCATGACCTTCCGCTTGGCAATCTCACAGTAAGCCACTTTGTCTCCTGCAGGAAAAGTCATAGAGATGTGTCTGAGGTCTACAGGCACAAAGCTACCTGTCACCTCTGTCACCAGGATACAGGAACAAACAGAAGCCAACATAGAGTGCACATGACTCTCCATCTTAAGGCCCAAACCAGCTGTTTCAAGGTTGGTAGAGCTACATTACAGAAGAGAAATGCTCAGCAATTGGCAGCAGCCTGAAAAATCCTCTGAGAAAGGAAAGGACGAGGGCAAGGCTACACTGACAACCAAGAATGAGCTGGAAGACACAAATAAACTCCCACCCCCATCCTGAACTTACATCACCCAGCAGTGCAAGGCCAGGACAAAAACTGATGACGCAATCAGCCTGGCCCATCACTGCCGTTCTCTGCCCAATTTTATGCTTGCTCCCAGTCTTCCTGAACTGATTCCCATTTGATTCCCAGAACAAACTCTACTACAAAATATTAATTACCAACAACAGCAGCATATCCATAAACCCTTCAGAACATGCACACTCAGAGCACGTGGAATTGCAGCTGCTAATATCAGAAAAACTTCCTAAAGGACTGAAGTTCTTGTTTAAGGCCAAAAGCAGCACATTTATGAGGCAGCACTGAGACTGTTTCAGAGTTACTTCCAGTCTCTGCATGCCCTGTCAAATCAGCCTATGACAGCCACTGTGCTGGGAAAACTCCAACAGACCCAGTACTGAAACTTAATCAATCTTGATTATAGTACTGGATGGCTCAAAACAGGACATCCCACAGCCTGAATGGTCAGACACCCAACAATTCACACACTGATGGAGTCTAAGTCATCCTTAAACCTTGGCTGTCACTCCTCTCCTCTGGATCCCATCACTCAACCAGGTGAGACAGCTCCCTCCTACCCTGGTATGGGTGTACCATTCCCTCCATCATCTGGACTGTATCATCCTGTTGTAACTGCAGGGACACATCCCCAATCGCGTCCACAAGCTCCGTGAAGAAGTCTGCAATCTCAGGAGAGTCCTGCAGCAAGACATAGCGGTCCTGACGATTGGTGAAGTACAGATCACTCAGGTTTGCACTGAAGAGAAAAAGAAGAGACAGGTTCAGAGCACAGACACAAAATTCTCAGCCTCCCAGGTCAGGCTACAGGCCTCGCTCTGGGATAGCTGCACTAAAGCACAAATTGGCCATTTCCTTCAGAATCTCGAAATATTTTTCCCGTTAAGAAAGGCTCACTCTTATCTGAGAATCTCATGTGCAGGAACTGTGGTTGCTCTCCCATCTCAGAAGAGCACTGATAGGATCATGATGGAGTCCACACGTTCAGACAACTCTGGCAGCACAGACAACCTGCCCAAAGGCCAGTGAAATGACCGCACCCAGGCCAGACACAGCCAGACTCACCCGCTCAGGATCACGTTGTCATCGAAGAGATAGACCTTGATGTGCTGTAGCCCAATGGTCTCATTGAAACGCTCTGGAATCAGGAGCCGGAGAAGTCCACGCAGGTTTGGGGTGTGGAAGAGGGACACACGGACTTGGTCGGGAAATCTCTGCAGCAATGGGATCAGCATTGTTCGAGAATTCTTCCTGCCTGGGAAAGAAAGGGAGTTTCACACAAAGATCACACAGAACAGACACATCATGACACAGCTCTTCAGCTGGTTACAGGGTGAGCACCCCTCCCATCCACTGGCACTTCACATGTTTTCCTTTTTTTTTTTTTGTTTTTTTTTGGATCACTTTTATTTGCACTATGTCAATATTGAAAATGACATTCAGAATCAGTCACAGGGCAGGTCTGACACTTTTCAAGGTTCTTAACCAAGCCTCACCAGCACTAGTAACACATCTATAAGAGTCGCTACAGATGACCACAGGTTCCTGATTCAGTGTGCTGCTGCTTCTGTTTCCAACAATCCCCATTCTCCTTTCAAAATGAAAATATAAGTGAGCATGAAGGGTAAGGACAAATGCACTAACAAATGAACCAAGCAAGACTACACAAGTTGCACAGAGTAGTTTGACCCTTCTTGCTCCTACCACCTATTTTTGGAAGAAAAGCTGTTCAACTTGAAGATTTTCTGGGAATATGCAGTTCTGGAATACAAAAGGCCAATCCTGAAATGTGCATGCTTTACACAAGTAGGTCCAATTGGCCAAGATACCCACTCTGAAAAGAACTGTCTCTCATAAAATCAGGCTCTGACAAAAGCAATGAGCAGCAATTCCTACCCCGGGAACCCCTGGTGTAGTCAAGGAGAATGGAAACTCTGAGGTCAGACGAGCCTTTTGCTTGCAGTGATTTCTCCAGTGTTTCTTCTAAGCAATACACCTGTAGAGAGAGTTCTCTTCTCATTACAAAAGCAAATACACGTTCCAAGGGAAGTGCTCAGCAGCAGGGGACCCTGGTCAAGACAGCTCCCACACTCTGGTGCAAGTCCTTCCTCCTTGTGCCTAGCAGAGCCAGTACAGCTTAAAGCCACAGATCAAAGGGCCTCAGTTTTACATGTCCACATCCTTCAGGTCTCACAAGAGCAATTAATGTTCACAGAAAGAGTCCCAATATCATTCTCAAATCACAGACTTGCATCACCAAAGACAAACATTGACAGGAATTCACTACATTTTTATTATTTGACTACAAGGTTGTTTGTTACATGCAAATTCAAATCCTGTGTGCAAGCCCAGACAAAGCTGGGCATAAATCCTATGCAGGCTCCATCCATCTTTACTCTGCCAGGGCATTTGCTTCCTAACATCAGAACCTGGCCAAGGCCAGGCTTCCTCCTCAAGCCCTTGGGCAAAAATGCTTTTGTTTCCAGAGGAAAGCACAAAAAAAGGCAAATACCATCAAAGCTGGCCTCAGTCTCAAATGCAGCAAACCAATCCTTCATCTGTGTCCTGCACCTGAACCACCAAGCACAGCACCACACACCTACAGCTCAAATCCCATCCAAGAAAAATGTCAGGGAAAGATAGATTCCCATGACCTGAGTTTTACAAAGCCCCCCGCCCCAAGCACTCTGAACAGCAGGCCAGTCCCTTCTGACAGGTCCAGGCTAACTATCCTGAAGAAGTGCAGCAGCAGCAGTTCCCTGGCTCCACACCAGACCTCAACCAGAAGCATGGTTTCCTTCCACATCCCTCCACTGCATTCCTTTCTTGGCGTTCCCAAACCCTTCCACACTCACCAGCTCCTGCTCAAGAAGTCCTGTTCCCAGGTACAGTGAGGCCATCACCATCCGCTGCTTGGCTGCTTTTATCTGCACCTGGGAGCAGCAAAAAACAAGCTCAATTTCACACAAGGTGTTTGGTCCTGAGGAGCCATTGGCCCAGACCTGGCAGTGCTGCACTCCCCGGGAGGATAACTTCAGCCACATCTCTGCTCTGGCTCCCTGGCCTTGAGGAAGGAAAGGTAACACATGGACAGTGGTGATGTAAAACACACGGAGCTACGTGGAGCCACAGCAGCACCACTGTTGCATCTAAAATTCAAGAAAGAAACTAGTGCTTTCTGGGAAACTGAAGAGCACATTCTCTGCAGCTAAACCTATTCCATACGAGAGCAGTTACCAGGCAGCAGCTGCAAAACTGGGATTGTATCAAAACCATTCCTACAACTTGCAGCCCACACCTTACCTTCAGGAGCTCATAGAATTCCGCCGGGGATGAAAGCACCTTGACATGCGAGCTGGAGATCCCGAACTCTGGGACCAGATTCCTAATCCACTGGAACCTGTGTGCTCCTTCTGGACAGAGGGTACACGGTGGGGCTGTGATCACTGGAACAGGAGGGGTGAGTAGTGGGGCTAGAAGGAGCCATGATGACCTGTGCAAAGAAAGATGGAGAAATTCTTTGTAGTGAAACTTTTGCTTCCCAGCAAGACTCCAAGCAGGCAAAGGAAGAGCTGCAGCCAGGGCCAATACACGGCAGGGATCCACAATGGCAAGAATGCCTTTCCCTGTCCATAATCTGATCTGGATCACCAAAGCCAAATGTACACAGGCAAAATATGGGAGAACAGATCTGAACATCGCCAGCTCCTCCCCTGAGCTGGCATGGAGATGAGGGGAAACAGCTACTTCATCAGGACTACATGGGAAGGGAAGGAGGCCAGGAGCTACAGAAAATGAGAGTTTGGATGCTCAGGTGTCTGGCAGTGCTGCGCTGGTACGACCTGTACCTGCAACCAGCCACTCCTGAATTATCTCCATCACACACACATCATCCAACACTCCCTTCATGTCAAGCTTTGTTCTCAGCTGGGCTGAAGTTCACATTTCAAGTTTAAAGATCACACTGCTTTAAAGAGAAAAATGCCTCCACCACTCAATCTTATCCAAAAATAGATCTACAGCAAAAAAGGTGGCCAAGTGCAAGCCCCAGCAAAGGCAGAGCAATCACACCCCAAGAAGGACCCACAAAAGGAGCAATTATGTCCCAGCAGGAATGCACCAAGCGCCACAACAGGGATCCATCCCCGTTCAGCAATGCCACTGGCATTCCCCAGAAGCACAAGAAAGGGTCACAATTTCCCCTGCAAACCTCACAAAAGGGGAGGTTTCCACACATTCCCTGCGAGGAAGACACAAGGAAACTCATTCTTCAAAAAGAAATTTTTGAAGAAATTTAATTTCTTTGAAGTCACTTTGGGAAGAAACCGGCTTACTGCCAGCATCACACAGCGGGTGACAGGAAGCAAGCAGCAACTTCTCCTCTCCAAGGTTTCACACATGCAAATCCATCCAGTCATAGAATAACCCCCCACCAGGAGTCTGTTTGCATGACAAAACCACATTTCAGCACAATTAGCAGCAGCAGCTCCCATGATATCCAGGAATCCATGAGCAAGGGACTGGACTGTATCCCTGAACCCACAGAAACCATCCTAATCTGCAAACCCCACTCATGGGAGCCACACTTCTTGGGATGGAACTGGGGTGGCTGTCTTACCCCAAGGACCACCAGGTCCTCGGGCCAGCAGGCAGCCACCGTCCTGTGGCCCATCCTGATGATTCCACCATCACCACACACCAAGAGGAAACTTGATCACGACCTTTACCAGAATTTGTTACGAGGAACTTCTGGCTTTTTACCACAATCCAGAGCCCAAATGAACATAGATTCCAGGAAGATGATTTCACTCATCTGGTTCATGATACAGCCCTGGATCTTCACAAGGTTTCCAAACATCCTTACAAGGAAACCAGTTCATAGTGGCGTTTCCTGTAAAATCCATGAGTTTGTCACTGACTATTCGTGAACACCGAAATCTGAGTCAGTCAGTGCAGGAACTCCTGGGCCAGTGGGTTTTAGCAGATCATGTGGACCTGGCACAGCCTGAATACCCAGAAGTGACAGAGATCACCAGCACAGGTTGTTAAAAACAATGCAAATATCCCCTAAAACGTGCAGAAAAAATTAAAGCAGAACAGAGACATGAGAAATACCACTTTTCAGGCACATTCTCCTAAGTCTCCATGGAACCAGAGCACAACCTTCATACACCTTTTCTCACCTCAAGCCTCACAGGCCACACATAGAGCAGATTCCCACTGTTCCATCTCTGCAAGGGAACATGACACACAGATCTACAGGAATTCACACTGGATCCAAAAACACAGGATCCACCAAATGCTCAGCCCACAGAGCAGTGGCATCGTTGGGCTCTAATCCAGCCCCACAGGTCATAAACATCCTCTGGAATTATTCCTTAGGGAGGAAGCAGTGGCAAATTTTATGTATTTTACAATAACAATCAACAGAGAAGAATACTGTCCTCATTATCTCATTGACCAACCAAATTACCCTTCCAGAAGCCAGACCAGTGGGAAAGCAGACACTTTCCAGAAACATAATTCCCAGAAGGCATTTTCTAGCAAGGAACTCTGAGTCCAATTGCACCTGCCTCCCTGCCTGAGGCCCTGTACCTGCCTGCCTGGAGCCAGGGGCAGCTCTGAGGGCAACTCTGAAGGCTGCAGGCAGCAATGGATTGAGCTTGGAGCATCTGGACTCTGACAGGAATATTTGGAAGAACATCAACCTGCAGCACCAGTACTATTTGGTTTGATTCAGATTAATTTTGCACAGGTCAATTTATCCTCACTAATTGCATCCTCCAGATTTTTCACTCCCTAAGTAATTTACAGTGTGTCAACACTGATCTTTCAACCCAATAGTGAAATCTACACCTTATTCAGCATTGAGAGCCTATGGCTTTTAGAATTATCAAATAAATCCGTATTTTGCTCCAGCCACAGTGCCATTGACAGAACAACCTGCTCCCAGAGCAGCAGCTTCTACCCACCAGTGACTGACATCAGCTCAGTGACTACCCAATACCACCTATCCTTGCAACTACGCACACACAATTGTCAGAAACCATGTAACATTATGAAGAAATCATCAAAATTCTACACCGTGACAAAACAGGTTTCAGAGGAACAGAAAGTGAACTAGGGGGGAGCCCTTTCCACGTACTTCACATCACTGAGTTAACCAGAAAGAGAAAACGGAATCAAAAGGAACCACCTCAGAACCCTTCTGAATAAAAAGATTTACCCTAAATAGCAACAATGGATTTTTTGGGGTGTGTTCTATTTTTTTTTTTTTTTTTAATGTAGGTCTGGTACAGAAACTCACAGTGCAGCTGAAACTCCTATTCACTGTAAAACCTCATCTTCAGAACTGAGGTGAAGTGAAACTTCAGGACACGGTGTTGTCCTTTCACCACTCACCCATCAGCACACAGGGGGGATCTACAGTGCTGCTATGTGAACTCAGTGATTTCTTTCCAGAGCTCAGCCGAATGTATCTGCCCTAAGAACACTGGCGAGACCAGAAGAGAAGCGTGGCAAGAATTTCCTTGGTGTGAACAGGAACACAGACTGATAACCCACCTCCTCCAGGACCGCGGTGACAGCACTGTCCCCGGTGAGAGCCGCCGGGCACAGCGTGGCCTGCCCCTCCCGTCTCCCTGCCCGAGGGGGCTGGCACCTGTTTCGGCCCCGTCCCGCGGGGCCCCTCGCCCCCCGCCACCGCGGGCCCGGGTGGGCTGAGCCGAACACCCAAACCCGGCCCGAGGGCTGAGCTGTGACAGCCGCGGGGCGCCCGGCCCCTGGGACAAAGCGATGCCGGCCAGCGCCTGGTGACAGTGGGAGGCAAGGAAATGGGAAAGGGGAAATAACGCTCAGCTGTTGCCCCGAGGGCGATCGGACAGTGGGGCGAGCTACAGGGGTCTGCGTGAGCAGAGCCGAACCCGACTCCGACCCCTGCCTGGGGGTACCGGGCTGCCCTTTTATACCTGCGCGGCTTTTCCAAGGAGCTGGGCCGGGCCGGAAAGGGGAAGCGGCGAGCGGGGGATGCCCCGGTAACATGACACCGACTGCGGGGGCGGCGGAGGGCTCCCGCTGCCTCCCAGCCCCGGGAGAGCCGGCGGGGTCCCGGCCGGTCCTTACCTGCGGGCGCGGCGGTCACGACCGCGGGAGAGGCGGTCGGAGAGGCGGCCGAGCAGCGCGGCCAGGCCGAGGCGGCCCCGCGGCAGCCAGGCCGAGAGCCGCCCCCACAGCGCCGCGCCGCCCGCCGCCATCGCCCGCGCCTTCCGCTTCCGCGCTGCCATGGCGACACCGCCTTCCGCTTCCGCCCCGCCCGGCCCGACCCGCGGCTCCCGGGAGCCCCGCGTGGCGCGTCCGCTGTTCCCCGCCTTCCCGCCCGGCCTGCTAGCGCGGAGCCCGCGGCGGGCCGGGGAGGGTACGCGAGGAGCTCAGGAAGGGCTCGTTGTCCGGCGGGGCCGCGCCGGGGCTCTCCTGGTCCGCACACGTGGGACGGGCTCACGCGGAGCCAGATCGCCGGCCCGGCAATGTCACGGCCCGGGGCGAGCCCGGGCGCGGCTGAACGGCTCTGAAGGGCCCTACACGGTTCTTGCCCGCGGCGGAACCGGCGTTCGCCACCCCGCCGGGCATGGCAGAGGCCGGGAACCACGGGTCACCCCGCCACGTCCCGATACGGGAAGCCGGTCCCACCCGAGAGCCCCGGAGCCGCGTCGTGCCTGTCCCGTCCCTCCCCCGCTATCTCTGCCCGCCCCGGCAGCGCTCCAGGGCTCGTTTGCATTTCAGAGCAGCCGGTCCGCCGGCGCCGATTCCGAGAACTGCCGCACTGGGTTGGTCTCTGCCGGGCAGCGGCCGCTCCTGGGAGGCAAATTAAACTGTTTAAAATAAACCCACGGACAGAGCTCGGGTTGTGTGCGAGCTCGGAACCAAAAATTGCCAAACGCGTGAGGAGTGGAGCTCCGCCGCTCCTTCCGACGGGCACCGTCCTCACCGGGACTCCGGCCGAGGGTCCGGGGCGGGACGGACGGCCTCGGTCCTGCCGGAGTCCCCACCAGCCCGCACGGTCCCGCAGACCGGCCAAAGCCCCAACTGCGCGGAGCGTCCCGGAGCTCCCGCAGCCACCGCCGCCCGAAGCGGCGCTGGGGCGCGGGGATCGAACAGCTGCGGAGCCGGGAGCCCCCGCACAGCCCCCGGTGCGGATTCCTCCTTGTCTCCAGTCCGAGGGTACCCCGCGGGTCCCCCAGGAAGCGCGGCCGAGGCTGACGGCAGCCTTGCACGTTGGCCTGGAAATCGGGGCTGGCAACTTGGGAAAGTGGGACCGGCACCCCCATTCCGGTGTATCCCCGGTGTACCCCCCATCAGCCGAGCCCAAACTCCTCGTCAGGGCGGGCCCGCGGCCCGGCTGCCCCAGCAGCGGCGGGGGACAGCGAAGGCCGCCGAGGGGCCGGACCGGGACTCTCCGTTTCTCCGCAGGCCGAGGGGCGGGGGCAGCCGCCCTGCCCAGAAGGGGCTGTCGGGGCCGGGGCCGGAGGGGCCAGGCCGGGGGCCCGGGGCTGGCAGAGCAGGGGCTGGCGGGGCGCCGGGGGGCCGGGCCGGGCGGGGCGCGGGCGGTGCCGCCGCGTTACAAGAAGCCGCGCAGTTCCAGGAACCCGAGGGCGGGCGTTGCGCCTGCTATAAGAGACCGCCCCGGGCCGCCTCGGCAGCTTCGCCGCCGCGCACCGGCCCCGCTCTGCCGCCGAGACCGGCTTCCGCGCCCCAGGTACGGCCGCGGGAGGGAGTTCAGGAGAGGACGGGGGGGACAGCCGAGGATGCCGGGACCTTCGTGGGGGGAGATCGCCGAGGACCGGGGATGCCGGTGATGCCCAGGGAAGGGGATCGCCGGGGATATTGGTATCTCAGCGGTGGCCTGGGGTAACGGTGTGCCCCCGGGCGTAAGAGAGCAAGAGCCCATCAGAAGCGCTGCTCCTAGAGAAGGGAAAGAGCGGGAGACCGCAGGTGTGCCCGTGCTCCCGGGAAGGAAGAGCTGGGGACGGGAGTGTCGGTGTCGCGAGAGGACAGTCGCCGGGAAACGGGGGCTGCCGGTTCGTCCGGGAAGGGAGAGCCAGGGATGAGTGCTGCCGATTCCCAGGAAGAGAGAGCTGGGCAGGGGGGCTGCCGGCTTTTCTGGGAATGAGAGCTGGGGAAGAGGATTGCCGGGAACCGGCAGCGCTCTTGCTGAGGGAGGATAACAGCCAGGGACTCGGGGTGTAGGTGTTCCCGGGAAGGGAGAGTCGGGGACCGGAATGCCGGGACTCACCGCTCTCTCTGCCGCAGGTGATGGTGTAGCAACGGCTGCTGCTGGCAGCAGCATCCAGAGCACACGAAGCTGGCTCCCTGCGCCATGGTCACCCACAGCAAGTTCCCCGCCGCCGGGATGAGCCGCCCCCTCGACACCAGCCTGCGCCTCAAGACGTTCAGCTCCAAGAGCGAGTACCAGCTGGTGGTGAACACCGTACGCAAGCTGCAGGAGAGCGGCTTCTATTGGAGCACGGTGACAGGTGGTGAGGCCAACCTGCTGCTGAGCACCGAGCCAGCTGGCACCTTCCTCATCAGGGACAGCTCAGACCAGAGGCACTTCTTCACCCTCAGTGTCAAGACAGAGTCGGGCACCAAGAACCTGCGCATCCAGTGCGAGGGCGGCAGCTTCTCCCTGCAGAGTGATCCCCACAGCAGCCAGCCCGTGCCCCGCTTTGACTGCGTGCTCAAGCTGGTCCATCACTACATGCCACCCACACCCTGTGCCGTGCCTGAGCAGCCTGGGGGGGCCCTGCACCCCAAGCGCACCTACTACATCTACTCAGGCGGTGAGAAGATCCCCCTGGTGCTGAGCCGCCCTCTCTCCTCCAGTGTCTCCACCCTGCAGCACCTCTGCCGCAAGACCGTCAACGGGCACCTGGATTCCTATGAGAAGATGACTCAGCTGCCAGCCCCCATCAAGGAGTTCCTGGACCAGTACGATGCCCCTCTCTAAGGGGCCAGTGGAGCAAGGTTTCATGCTACAAGCACAAGAGCAGGGGACAGGCACAACGCCCCACCGGCACCGGCAGGGCATGCTGAGTCTTTCCGTCCGGGAAGGAGAAAGGAGGAACTGGGGCAAGCTGCCAGGGGCTCAGGGCTGTGGCCAGCATAGCTGGGCACCCTTTCTGCTGGGGGGACTCCTCATCAAGAATGACACCTCCTCCCCACGGGGAAGAAGATGGCTCCAACCAGACTGTGGATGTTACAGTGAACCCATTGGCAAAGCCCCTGTGGGCTTGGGCAGCCAGGACAGCTCCCATAGCATGGGGGAACATGCACCCCACCAGCCCCATCCTGGGGTGTCCTTTTGAGAGCCCCTTCCACCCTCAGAAATGGAAAGCACTGGAGCCCAGGAGTGCCTGATCACTTTTCCTCAGTTTTAAGGGGAAGGTGGTTTTTTTGCCCGTACTGTACCACTTGCTGCCTCCTTGTGGGTGAAAGCTCCTTTCACATCAAGCCCCAGACTAAGAGGTCGATGCCTTTGCCCCACATTGCCATTTTCCAGGGGACTAAGCCTTAATATCCCTCCTGCCCCATGGTCTGGGTTAGTGCATGTCAGCTGGTGACGTGACAGCTGTGCAGTGAGGGTCCTGCTGATGTGCTGTGAAGCTGGAGAGGAAGTGTCGCATCCCGATGCTGCTGAGTCCCACACAACCGCATCTGCAAGGATCACCCCGAGGACACTGGGCCCTTACTCCCTACAGTCACACCCCACCTCTGCCCAGCCATTCCTGCAGACCCCGGCTGTGCTGCTCTGCAGGGCACCAATTCCCACAGGAACACAGCAGGACGATCTCCTGGAGTGTGTCATCTCGTGAGTGCTTTTCTGCGTCTGCCCAGAGAAGTGGTTGGGTTTTCTGGCTTTTTTAAGTTTTTATTCTTATTTTTTTAACCAAAGGGATGTTTACAGGCCAACGTGAATCACTGTCTTTTATAAAGATTCCATCTTCACCTCCAGCCTTGAGGGCTGAGCAAAACAATGCTTGAAAATTCAACCAAAACCAAACTCAGATGAAACTTTGCACATATTTATATTTATATTCAGAAAGAAAATGTTTCCATAATTTATAATAAAGAGCACTATTTTTTAATGAAAACCATCAGATTTGGTTTGATTTCTCTCTCGCACCCCTGAGGCTGCTTGGCTCCGGCACAATGCTGGGATGTGTTTACACCACGTAAGCACCGTTTCCTGGAGCCACTGTCCACGCCGGGTGATCCCGCCGCGGTGACTCAGCCCGGGTGCGTAAGCTCTGCCCCAGCACTCAGGTATGTCTGAGCCCTGCGACGTCGCTCCGTCTGCCAAGCCACAAGGATGGGATCTGCTCCTTGCTCGCGCACATGGTGCAACCACGGGACAGCAGACATGGCCCTGGGCACAGGAGGGGCCAAGCTGGTGGCCAAGGCTGGCCTGTGGCACAGCCCCAGTGCAGTGCTCGTGAAGGGCTGAGCAAGTCCTGCCTTCCCCCAGCCCTGTTTTGGCACATGCCAGGGTGAGGAGCTGCAGGAGCGGGGATGAGACATGGGTCAGAAAGGGTCTGCAGGTGCTCCCTCTGGGAGTGTAGTGGGCTCGGGGTAGGAGGTGCCAAGATACTGTTCACCCCCACAGCGCAGAGAGAAATGCTCTGTCCTGTGCAGAACCCCAGCTGGGCACAGATTCCCAAGGGAGAGGAGAGGATTAAGTTCTCCTGGGGATGTCCTTGCCCCCAGAAGCACCTGTCCTCCACTGCTAGGGGCATGAAGTACGTGTAGGAATAAACCTGCAGCTGCGTCTGGCTGGTGTGCAGTGCAGTGCCTGGCTGAAGAGTTGAATGCAGGCATGTGGGTGATCCCCTGGGAGCAGGTCAGCCCCCCAGAACTCCCCCAGAGCCCCTGCCTGTGAGGAGCAAGCAGTGCCCAGGTGCTTTGTGCAATCTCCACACTGTAGGTATTATGCCTGGCATCATGAGCAGTGCTTCTGCCCCTCCAGGGAACCCCAGCTGCTGGGAAAAGGATTTCCTTAGGAATCAGCCTGGACCAGAGGGATGGTGAGTGTGCCAGTCCAGGCTGTGGGCATGGCACAGTCCCAGTGACTATTTTGGGGCCACTACGTGTGGCTGTGGCACGTGTGCTGCTAGAAGTGCCATGGCCTGCCCAGGCACCCACTACAGCTATGCAAGGAATGTCCATGCGCACAGGTGGCTGCCTGCCAGGCCCTGCTGAGGCACATCCCTGAGTTTAGAGCTCCCAGCAGCACCAGTGACACCCGGCCCATGCCAGTGATGGGGTGGGAGCAGTGCTGCAGGCACAGCAGCCCCCAGCTGGCAGGAGCATTACCACTCCCCCAGGCAGAATGAGGCAAACCAGGGGATGAAAATCAGGGCCCTGGGGGTTTATGAGCATACCCAGCCCTCCCGGCAGAGCAAGGGGTCCACAGCACTTCATGGTGGGGCAGAGTGGGAAGTTGCCCCCAGGAACAGCAGCCCGGCTGCCCACAGTGACCCAATCCATGTCCTCCCAGCCAGACCCCTGCCTTCCCATCTCTGTGGGAACAGCCCCAGCTTCTTCACTTCCCAGAAGGGCCCTGGCATTGCCGACCAAGGGCCTCTTCCCTCACGGTGCTGCAACTCGTGGCTGAATCAAGAATCCGGGAAGCTCCGCCAGCCCTGCGGGTTTCTTGGAATAAAGCCAAGCTCGCGGCAGCAGTGACGCGGCAGCCGGCGGGCAAATCCCTGCTGAAGGTTTCACAAACCTCTCTGCTCCAGAGCAGCTGAGCGGACTTGGTCCTGCATTTCGTAAGCAGCCTATCAAACATGTCCCACAGCCAGTTCCCCTCTGCCCTTCACCAGGGCTGGGGGTAGCTGAGGTCCCTCTGGGAGGGTTCCTGGATAGGCAAGATGTTATCAAGGTGATCAGACCCTGTCAGCGTGTGATGGTGCCAGGAGCCAGCTGGGAATTCGCACAGGGCTCCAGAAGCAGGGCTGGGACATCGGCATCCTGTGGCTCTCCACATTCCAGATCTCCTGGGGCTGGGCACCAAGCAGCACCAGCAGAACAAAGTGCAGCTGTAAGTGCATGCCCCCGGTGCTATCAGTTCCTCCATGATGTGACAGTGGCCATGCAGAGCAGGGTGAGGGCAGCAAGCCCAATGAGAGCCCGACAAGGTGCTGTGGCACGGAAGGGTGGTCAGGCAGGGACAAGCTGCTGCCCCACAGCCCCTGTAATACCCCGTCTTGCCTCAGCCTGGCCTCCCCATGGGGTGCAGGGTAGCCACCAATGCTTCCCATCACACTGCTGGCTCATTACTGGCACAAGAAGCAAGTGTCCACCGGGATGGTGAACCTGAACTCTGTGGGGTCAGGGGTGCAGGAAACCTGCTCTGGTGTGTAACCAGGCTCTGCAGAGCCAAAACAGGAAACCACCGCAGCCGGAGATTGCTGCGGGCACAGCAGCAGAGGGCTCGGTCAGTACCGCAGCTCTGCTGTGGCTACACCAACCATGCAGAAAATCCAGCTGGTCACAGAGAAGGAGGGCAGACCCATGAAGGCTGCCTAGCCCCACACTGGCACCCCAAGGAAGGCAGCAGTGGACACAACACCAGAGGTCCCTGAGGCAGCAGAGCCAGGCAGAGAGTTTGCCATGAACACCCTGACCCCGCGGCACTCCCTTCACGCACTTCTTCCTGCTTGGCTCTGCAGCGCGAGGACATTCCCACATCTACCACCGTTTCCCAGTAGAATGCAGGAAAGGGCTGTGCAGCAGCTGGGAACTTACTGTAAATGGCACCACCTGCTCCTTACATGGCAATTGCTCTGCAGGCTAGGGCACAAGGACATTTGGGAACAGGCACTGGGACATCTGCTCCCAGTGAGCTGCCAGGAAGCACAAGCAGGAGCTCCTCAGCAGAGCCCAGAGCTGGCAGTGGTGGTCCCAGCTTCAGGCCTAGGACAAGAGGCAGCTGCTTGGGCTGGAGAAGGAGCAGGGCTGCAACTTTATGTCACCAGAACCCCTCAGTTCCACAACTGCCCCTCATCTTGGGCCTCTGCACTCAAGATACTGCTCAAAGTCCCTGTGCTGGTAGCAGCTCCGCTGCCAGTGACCTAGAGCAAAGTCTTGGTGGCTGGGGGAGCCATGGGGGTTGGCTTGGCCCTGACTCTCCCTGGGCCAGGTAGGGCTATTATCAGGCAGGGAGCAGGGGGTGGCAGCAAGACGCCATGCCCAGGCCAGGAAGTATTTTGAGATGCAGCAGAGTCCAGCAGGCTGTGTACGTCCCCATGGAAACTCTACTTTGTTGCTGCTTCCCCAGCCAGACCCGCGCTACCTCCAGGGAGCCAGCAGCTGTGGATTCCTCACTCCTTCCATCAGCAGCTAGGAGAGCTACTCTGCCCCAGCCCCCCCGCCCCCTGCTCTCTACTCCCTGGCAGAGACCCGGGCCCAGGGCTACGCCGCTCTTGCACCTGCACTCGCAGGGAGCAGCGATGTGCCAAGCATTGGCTGTGGTCACTCCTGGGCACATGGCATGCCACGGGAGGTCCCTGTGGGTGCTTGGGCAGCAAGCTGCCAGCTGCCTGGGGTGAGCTTGCCGAGCGCAGCACAGAATCCTCTGCTGACCCTGGCAGAGCAGCCATAGGCAGGTGTCAAACCTTAGCCCTGGAGGATCCCTTGGCCTCGCATCAGTCCTGGCCTCGGCAACAGCACAGGAGCCAGCAGTGGCAGAGCCACACATGTGGCTGGGGATGGAGCTCCTGGATGTGGGACCCTGTGTCTGCAGTCACACCCTGTCCTCCTCGCCTGGCCCCTCCAGCCACACCAGTTGGGTATGGGGTGAGGGTTGCCAGCGGCGCCACTTGGGTGATGATGGGGAGTGTGGCTGGCAAAGGGCACAGCTGGAGCAGATGCTCCCCAGGAGGACCCAAGGGCCCCGTTTCAGCATTTAATGAGTGGGAATGGGAGTGCTTTACTGTAATTCCAGTAATTACATTGTTCATCCTTGGCAGCCAACGCCAGTTGGTGTCCAGCGCCATGGGATCACGATAAGCCACCTGGCAATGAGGCTTGGCAACACGCTGTGCTGCCGGGCAGCCAGCCAAGGCAGGGCAGGGAAGGGCTGCGGAGCAAGGTGTGAGGTACGGTAAGGGCCCGCCCCGGGAGTTCCCGTCACTGCCACTCAGGTGGTGGCCAGGAGGGCCCTGGTAATCCGGAGTTGAGCCCACACAGCTGGGGATTCCCAGCCCACTGAGGTCCTGGCAGGATCTTAGCAGCCACTGATCACTGTGGAATCCCCAGAACACACCAGGCCTGCT